GCTTTGAGTAGTGAGAAGACTAGAAAAGTGCTGCAAGTGCTATACAAGCTCAAGTCCATTTTCTACAATTCTCTTAGCAGACGCTTTTCTCCAAAGCGACGTACATCAGAGAGTAAGTACATCACAAACAAGGATCTAGAAAAAAGGGAACAATGTGAGTAAGAACAAACGATCAGCTTTGAGTCTGATTGGACACACAGGTGCTGACAGGAAGTGACCAGAGGCAAAGCACAACATTGAGGGCAGTTCTTGAGAGAACTCAAGTAGCCAGGTCCTACTAATGAAGCTTTAGTTTAACAGACTACATTGAACCCTAGCAAAGCTTTATTGTCTTACAACTGCTTCCAGTATGTCAGTAATTTAAAGACTTTGAAGATTCAAGCTTTCAAAGAAGTTTCCTCAACCATGAGTGTCTCAAATTAGTGTTAAATCTCTACCACTGTGATTTTGTTTTTTAGTTCTACGTATATTTTCTGCAACTGCACACACATGTAGAGTACCAACCCTCTTTCATTATATTACAGTCTGTCCAAAATGACACTAAAAATTCAATTCTCACTTCTCAAATACTGTAGAAAGATATACACACACACACACACACACACACACACACCCAGCCAGAGTTTACCATTGTTCTGCTTGATTCCCCCTGACTTCTACAAAGGTACCCTATGCCCTGCAGCCATGAAGGCAAGAGTAGCCAGGTTCTACTAAATTAATGATGAAATATGTCGTACAGGGCAGGGCAGGACACAACATCCTCCCTCTGTTCTCCTGCTCTCAACTCAACCATTAAAAACACTTTGCAGGTGTAGTCGCCCTGCTGTGTGTCTGCCTCTTTCCCTTCAGAGAATAGGTTTATACTGAGAAACCTCTCCGAGTTCACTGTCATTCCTGCTGTTCTTCAGTACTAAAAAGCAGAGTGCATTAACTAAAAGCATCGAACAATGGCTTTTTCATCCAACATTTCTCCTTGTGTGAAATATCAACTATCAACAGGCTGCTCAAATGAGGCTACTTACAGCTTCTCAATACTTTTGCTTCCAAGAAAAGTAACGCAAAATCATCTGCAGTGCTTTCAGGGTGCTTATTATGAAGGTAGGAGGGAGGTGGCATTTCACAAAAAGAGCACCAAGCATGTTATTGCCAGAGGTTGAAGTACTGCTCTTCACACTAATAAATAACCAATTTACTCCAGGAAGGAAAGAAGGCAGGTTCTTAAGAAAGAGGGCAAATGAGAGAGAGTTGAGGCAGAATCGTTTTGATGACTCATGCTTTGAAGCCCCTATATGGATGGAAGCCATAAGCCATTTAGCAAACCTGCTAATTCCTAATCAGTATTTATCATTGCTTGTCTTAGTTATTTGGAAACTAAGGCCTAGTCCACACTGAAGTAACAAAAACTCAAAAATCAGGTTTGTCCTGTAACCTCTCCAATATTTTCTTGTTTTTACCACTTTGGAAGAAACGGGAACAGTTCATCAAACGCGCAGACTTGATCCAAAAATAAATCCAGTGAGAGTTGATTCTTAAAGTTGCTGATAGTTTTACTGCAAATCAAAGTAAACCAAAAAGTATGTGTAGTGTCTCCAATGACCTAAAACACATGTAATTCCTATAATTAAACACGACTGCTGAGCCTGCAGTCAATGACGGTATGCACCGTGACCCGTCTTCATCCCAGGCACGCTCTGCACTCCCCCTTATAGACGTACAAAATTCATTACAAATTAAATGCAAATACAATGAACTTAAATGCGGCTCCTACACACATAGGCGGATATTTTGTGGAGGTTTTCCTCCCCCGTTTTGATAGATAATCCCGTCCACACACTCTCAAAATGTAAAAACACTGTCATGGCTGTCATGAGCATGCCAAGTCAACAATGATGTATTAGAGGTGTCAAAACGTTCTTCTTGTTCTTCTGCGATGACCATTTCATTTTGAAAGTTGTCCCACCACCAGAAGTCAGACCACCAAAGTTGCTTGTGTGGTTTGTGTCGTCAGACTGTTGTATGAAGCAGCAGTGACCGCTGTAGTCCAATCAGGGATCTCTGCTCGTCAACATAGAGGGAGAGCACCTGAGTGTGTGTGTGTAAGCATGTTAAAAGTCCAGTTAGCAGCGTTAACATCAGCACTAGTCTGGTCACATTTGCTATTGCACTAATCTTACATAAACTAAAGTGTCAGTGTCGCACATATCAAACTTAAACTTGTGTTTGCAAAAGGCCAAATATCACAGCAAAAGCAACGTTTTCAAAAAATACCTGCCTACGTATGGACTAGGCCTAACATTCAATAAAATCAGGAAAAAAAAGGCAATGAGACATGTACCTAATGTCACAACCTGGCTCAACAGTATGTGACAAAAGAGGGAGACCACATAGTCGGCAACATTATTCAATATAGTTTAATTAAATTATTAATTGACATAGTGTTATGCTTGTGAGGAGGTCAGTGTGTATGCAGTGATGAGAGTGTGTGTGTGTGTGTGTGGATGAATGAGTATCACACTCCAACACAAAACACAAACAAACAAATGCTGACAGCAGTCTGCAGGTCAGAGAAGAGAATGAGAAGATTAAGTAGGTCTGCTTTGTAGACTCCCAATAAGCAGCCTGCTCAGGTGTACTGTATTAGAGTCCTCCCTGACTCCGCCCACATCTACCTGCAACAAGGAGAACACAGCCAGCAAAGGGAAACAAACAGGAAGAGGACAACATTTAAAACTACTTAAAACCTATTTTGAAGACATACTTGTAGGTTTCCTGATATTTTGTCTCTGTGTATTATTGACATTATTGAAATGTATTTTTTTTTCTGCAGTGATAACACAAGATAAGACTTTATTGATCCCCAGAGGGAACATTCCGGTGTTGCAGTAGCACAAAGACAATTAGCAAGTAGGTAGGACAAAAAAATCTAAATCAAAACAAAATACAAAAGAGAAATACAAATAAAATATGAGGTATATACAAGTAGAAGTAGGGTGCAGTGATAACTACATTTGACTTGGAACTTGTCATGATTTGGTTTTGTATTTGAGTTTCCCTGTTTTATCCAAGTGTTGCTTGTTTCCCTTGTGTGTTAATGTTCCCTAGTGTTGCTGGTTTTTCCCTTGTGTGTTAATGTTCCCTAGTGTTGCTGGTTTTTCCCTTGTGTGTCTCATAGTTTTGTCTTCAGTGTTTTCTGTTTTATTTAGTCATTTTTAATCCTCGTATATCTCTGTGTTCCAGTGTGTTTTGTTAGATTCTTGAGTTCTGTGTGTCTTTAGTGTTTCATGATTTAGTTTGTCCTCAGTGTTTCTTGTATTCCTGCCTCTGTGTGTTTCCCAGTTTGATTGCCCTCATTGTCTTCACCTGTGTCTTGTTAGTCTCACCTGTGTCTGATTACCCAATGTCTATTTAGTCTCTGTGTTTCTGCCCCTCTGTGTCAGTTCATTGTATGTTGTGTTATGTGGTTTGTCGTATGTCAGGTTAGTTGTCAGTTTGCTCGTGTCTCTTGTGCTTCCTCGTGGCTCCTTGTTTTTTCGTGTTTTGGACTTTTGATCTTTATTTTAAATAAATCATTTTTTTTAGATCTGCATCTGGGTCCTCCTCTTAGTTTTTCTCAAACCTTGACAGGAACTTCTACTTTTTTTAAGTACTTCAGGAACACACATGTCATTTTGCATAGGAGAAGTCAGTGAGTTTCAGTTAAGTTCAGCTCTTTATTTTCTAAATGATATAATATGCGGCTTTAAGAGTAGATGTTCAGTAGATGTTGCACTTTTCTCTCTAAACAAAACAGCTGTTTCTACAACTGACTTCCATTCAGATATATTGTAAGTTCAGAGAGATCGGTTAATTTAGTTTTATTATTATTTAGTATTTAATACCAAACAAAGTCTTTTCTGCTTTTTGGAAAGTCTGTTGGTTCTTCTTGAATTGAACTCTAGTACCAATTTATGCCTCATCCCTGAGTGGGCAGTGCAGTGCCATTTCCTTCACACAAACTTATTATCTGTTCTTTCAGAGTTCAGAGCATCATGAGGGATCATAGATTTAACTTTAGGGCTGTTTCATTTTTCAGGTGAGACATTTATGGGCAGTTTTTTTAGTGACTCGGACAAACAGAGGACTACAGCACACTTCTTCACTGCACACTTCACTAAACACTGGTTCACTGCACACTTCTTCACTGCACACATATTCACTGCACACTTCTTCACTGCACACTTCTTCACTGCACACTTCATCACTGAACACTTCATCACTGCACACTTCTTCACTGCACACTTCTTTACTGCACACTTCTTCACTTCTTCACTGCACACTTCTTCACTGAACACTTCTCCACTGCACACTGGTTCTGCTTTGCCCAAAAGCCTTATATTAACAACTGGTGGCAGGAAGTCTGCATAGCATCATTCCAAATCCACATTTAAAATCAGGCCATGCCTGAAGGAGTGCAGCCGTTTGGTCTGTTTGCACACTATTACTCACATCAAATATTAATATCTCAACCTACAAGTATGCTTGCTTTGTGTTGTTTACAACTCGTCATTCTTCTCCACCATGCCTGGAAGTGACTTGGTGCTGAACTTGTAGCGCCCGAAAGAAAGTGTTCTGGTAGATAAAAAAAATGTAACCCAGGGCATGTTAATATTTTTGTGTGCACCTTTTCAGAAACAGATTGGTGTGTCTGACAGAGTGACTTACTTGAAAAGACAACTTTATTGTGAACTGTATTTGTGTCCCATCCTTTTTTTTCTTCCGTGCTGCTGAAACTACTCTTTCAGCCGTCAGCAAAGAGGTTTTGCTTGATAATTGCACAGCATACATATTCCTTGGTCACAGTCATATTTCCTGAGCAGCTGCAGGAAAAGAGCCGCAGGAAGTCCATTTGTCCAAGTGGACATCAGGTAGCTGTCGCAGCATCTGTGTCTTGATAGTGCTCGGAGACAATTTGAAAATAACAAAATGAAGCAACATCAATCTCTCTCTGTCTCTGCCCACAGACACCCCTCAGAAGGACGGGGAAGACACTGCTTCCTCGTCTGACTCAGCCTCAGACTCCGCCTCCTCACTGTTTGACCGCTGGGGTCGCGACCTTGGCCCGGAGAGCAGAAGGGTCGCCCTCAAGAAGTTTCGCTACTTCGGCTACAATGGCTACCTTAGCGACCGCATCTCCCTCACCCGGCCGATCCAGGATCTGCGACCGGACGGGTCAGTCTGTTGATCAATATGTGCACTGTTAATTAATCAATTCAAGATGGGTGATGGTTCTATATGCTCTCATGGATTTGACCTTTCTTTTAATGATGTTTTTTTTGCTCTTACAGTATATGCCTTACAGTATATTTTGAAACATGGCCATGACTCTCTCTGTTTTATCTCCCCTCTCACAGGTGCAGAAACATTTCATATTCATCAGATCTTCCTCAGATCAGCGTCATCTTCATCTTTGTTAACGAGGCCTTGTCGGTGTTGCTCCGCTCTGTCCACACGGCCATCCAGAGAACTCCTTCACACCTGCTCAAAGAGATCATACTGGTCGATGATCACAGCAACAGCCGTAATAATTTTTCTTTCTTTTTTTAAAAAGCAATCCATCTTTCCTAAACTGGACCAAAATTGGTGTTACACTTTTACTTGCTCTTATTCACACCACCTGCCAACCAGGGAGTAATCCATTTAAGGTGGGTTCAAAAAGGTGAATCCCATTTGAATAACTCCCTCGGCAGCAATATATATTTTTTGAAAGCAATCACATCTTGGCAGTAGATTTTCTTTGGAAGTTTTATCGTATCGTCAATGTAGTTTGGCCGTGATTGATTTTCTGAATCATTTCTCACTCAAAATGATTTGTTCGCAGTGATTCACAGAGTATAAAACAGATTCCAGCCACTGCTGTTTGCCATATTTCAACGAGTTCCAGAGAAGGGAAGTGACCTTGAAGTTATAATAGAACTATAGTAGAAGTAAATTAATTGGTTTTAATGTTTCAGAAGTGTAGTTGAGGAAAGAATTTCACCACACAATGCTGAATGGTGGTCTAAGCCGAGTAAAGAATGTTTTTATAGGACTAATTAAGATGTTATACCTGTTTAATAACTGAATATTGGGTGCCTAGAACTTCTATTTTTGTTGCCATGTTATTGAAAGAGGTATTCAAATCATTGAATTTTTACTAGAATCTTAGCAAAGTTTAAAAATCTGGAACCATGACAACCCTAACATCCTGTTCTAACAGCACGCTACATAAGTGAGCGTCAGAATCAGCTTAAATTCATTGTTTCCTATTGGATTTTTACTAACTGCCCCCTAGAGACTCAGCACGACGCTGGGTGCAGTTTTTCCCCTGACGCCCCATTTCTATTTTCCTCTGTGACGAAGACGGACAAGGAAGGAGGAAAGAGGACAAGGAAGGAGGGGGCTCTACAATCAGAATCAGAATTAGAATCGGGGTTTATTGCCAAGTACATTTACACATACAAGGAATTTGACTTGGTGTATTGGTGATAAACAATTAACAACGAAATAAAGCAGAACTAGCAACAACTTAAATAATACAGTCTAAGAAGATATTACAATATAGAAAATATAATTTAAAAATGTAAAATGTAAAATATTAAATATTAAAATAATAAACACAAAATGTACAAAAGGTGCAATGTAGGACTATGAGAAAAAAATCTTAATGTGTGTACAAGGCACTCGCACTCACTTTTCTCACTCAACAGAGTTTGCCCTGAGTATGCAAGATTAGATTTGCACATATTACCTACAATAATAATCACACAGTTATTGGATGTTTTATTCAAAGATCTGTTGAAAAAAATCGTTTAAAAAATTAAATGTTCCACACACAAAAAAAAACGCAGCTACTTAGTCAGTCACACCTGTTCCAATGAAACAACTAAAAATTGTAATTCTTAACAGTTATGTATCAATTACATCAGCTTTTCTTAGTTACAAGTATATTTAAAATGTTTTGTCAACAAGAAGGATGTATAAAAATGTACACTGACTCAAGCAGGTGAGCTAGAGGTTTATATATATACAGCTTGTTTATATTTACCCACTTACTTTACATTCTGCTGTTGATGCTGCACAGAGATCAGGACATGTGCACGCATTAGCTGCATCAGCGGTGTATGAAAACAGATTCAAACTTATTACAACAGTCGCAGTAAAAGCCTGACTGTGACTCGTGGCAGAGCCCCGGTGTTAATAAATGCTTCACTTTCTGTGGGAAATATTTCACTGCTGCCAAACCTATAATTACCACTATGATGAATCTGTCGTCTACGGCGTCTGCAGATTTCATGGGTCTCTCACTGCTTCTCCGTTCTTCAATAATACAGTATATCAAAGTTTAGTTATGGTAGCTGCACAGGGTTGAATGCTGATTAATGGAGAACCCATTGGGATAAATAGATTTAAAATGTTCCTCAAATTATTTAATCCTCATTCATTTACAACTATTCAACTTAGCAGCTCCTGGGGAAATATGATTTAATGCTTTCGCTTTTCAGTGAATAACAATGGCATGAAGGCAATTCATAATGAAGTTTGACTGATGGGGGATAAGTGAAAGTGTGATCATTTCTGGAGCGTATTGATTGTACATGCTGTAATTATGCCAAATGAGGGTCAAGAGAGGCCAGTGGAGTGTAGAAGTACAGTCACACTCATTCTGCCACAGGAACAGTAGAGCTGCAGACATTGTTCATAAAGACTCAAAGTGCTGATCAAAGATCACTGAGACGAGCAAATCTAAATTACAGAGACGATGAATTATGTTTTATTACTTTGTCTCTCTGATCTCCACATTGTGACTTAACTTTGAGTCTTTACAATTCAACAATTTAGAAAAGAAAATTAATTCAATGGCATTTCATCTACAAAGCTCTTTTGATTGAAGTTGATTTTTGGTGCGTAACCAGTTGGAATTAAATGATCGAAAAAAAAAAAGCCCACGAGTGGGGCCAGCATATTTTTTATCTTTAACAGCAGTAGACTGCACAGACATCAGTTTACCATTTCAATGTGGACTGATTGATGTTATAATTCAGAGTTCTCCCTTAGAATGAAACTGTACTCAGGCGGGGGATTTGGCATGTATCACAACGTTCATTCATGTTATTCCTTGTTTTGGGCCGTGATTAACTGGCGTTTCACCCCTTAATAACTGTCAAGTCAATCTGGAGTTTGGTCTGTTAGAAAATAAATGAATTAATAGGTCAAATAAATAAATTACATTCAATTATTTCAATTATTTCAAAGAAGTAAAAGATAAGAAATAACATAAAAATGTAAACATTTGAATCAAAACCAAAAGGAAGATTCAATTAAAAGCATAAACACTCAGATTAATTTAATAAATAAGTTGTGTTATTAAAATGTACTGTTTGCTAAAGTTGGTAAATAAACAGGTAGATAGGAGTAAAGATTCAGTTAATAAATAAGTTAAAAAATCAGACTAATGATCAGACCAAACCGGAAGGAATCAATCCTCACAGCACAGAGTGCACGGAAGTCTTTAAAACAGACGCACACAGGCAGCATGAGAGGAGAGGCAGACCAACAGGTAACTCACTGAAACAAAAAGAAAAGACAATCCAGAAAACTGAACTGTGCATAATGGATCATCTACAACAAAACCAAAGAGGCAGCCAGTTTTTCACCTAAACTGCTAAATAGCTAAGCTGAAAGCTAAATCTGAAAACCTAAAGTAAACCTCAAAATAAAAGGAACTGCCAAGGATTTTTTTGAGTGGAGTCCAGTCCTTTGGGTAGAGGATCATTCCTCTCTAGTTGGGAAGCACAGGGAAACTTGACAACAACACAAAACTAAACAAGAGGGTTCACTCAACAAAGGAAACGTGGCATGGCTGTTTGGAAGATGAGAGTGATGGAGTTCCTCACCTGCTCTACAGTGACCCCATCTTTCTGCTTTAAAGTCTTTATATGTGATTTTTCACACTAAAATATAATATAAATCAAGTATATCCTCTGAAAATAAATAAATGTCCTCTAAAAATAAATAAATGTGAGTCATGACTGTCTACAATGGGTGTAACACCCGAGTCCCGAATCCTATCTTTAGTTTGTGTCCCCTCGTGTGTAAAAGTTGTTTAATTGAGGGACTAGAGAAAAGAAGAATAACATACTGTACTCACTGCTTAACTGTGTTTCTAGATCACGCTCATTTCAGGTAAATTTACATGCAGTGTGAAGATACGAGCATCATAAAGATCGCTAGCATTAGAATGCTAACACAACAATGACCCGCAAGTTGTTTTGGTTTCATGTTGGTGCTCAAGGGCGACATCTGCTGGATCAAAAAATCACATATAAAGCCAGTAATAGGGGACAGACCTCTTAGCAGCCTGTCATCAGCTGGAACAGGAAATTAATCAGAAAATCAGCTCCTGTCACTTGCACACATATTTGCACATAGAAAGAGAGCACAACGCAACCAACTTAGAACAAAAATTCCAACCACAATCATAACTCCGCAGCTGCAGGAACATAATGAAACGAGTCTGAGAAGCTGCAGTTTTCAAATCAGATGGAGCATCTCAATTTATGCAATTATGGGAGAGATGTACAGTCAGAGGTCTAAACGTCCAATATGATATAATGATTGTGCTGTCAAATTTAAAAGGCAAAGGTCAACTTCACTCAGACATCATAATGTCTTGGAAATAACACTTTACTGGCTAATATTCCTGAATAACCTTATTTTCAATTTGGCTCGCAATAAACATGCATTGGGACCCAACAGACTGAGAGTATTTTTGTGGTCAATGGTTAAGGTCACTTTGACCATTCATTTTTCCCTTTCTTGTGAACCTTGTACTTAAGCAACCAGTTTAAAAACACAGTTTTTACATCTGGACTTTTCTTATAGTTTGTCCATCTAAGAGAGTGATCTAATCCCCCAATAAGTGGACGACCTCTCCTGACTTTGGTCCTCTGGAAACTGCTGTTGTTCTGTCACAAAGAAAAGCTCTATTAATCATCACATTTAGCAGAGGATCACAAACTTCTGGTGTTTTGTCTCATGAACATTTTTGGGTGTGACTTCTCCTGTTTCAAGCCTGATTACACTGTTGTTATGGAGATTTTAATGTATTTTCGATTTACAAATATATCCTGTGACATGGCCACAGTTACATTCTGTGGTATAAACGTATGGATGTAATCTGCAACTTGAATGGCTGGTGGAGATGTACTTTTACAAGGCAGTTATTCTAGTTTGCTACATCTTTTGTCTTAACTATTGCAAATATAATCTGTCTCCAATTTTATCATTTATCAAACAGTTTAGTTTCCCTTAATGAGAAGCATATCAAGCCTCATAGTGCAGCGACTGTGAAAAAGCCAGAAAGCAATATAACTTGGGGTAACAACATTTTAATTTCAATTTCTTTGAATTTCTATTTGTTTTGTTTTGCTTTGTTTTGTTTTGTTTTGTTTTGTTTTGTTTTGTTTCCTTTCCTTTCCTTTCCTTTCCTTTCCTTTCCTTCCATTTCCTTTCCTTCCATTCCCTTCCCTTTCCTTCCTTTCCCTTTCCTTTCCTTCCATTCCCTTCCCTTTCCTTCCTTTCCTTTATTTTCCTTTCCTTTCCTTTCCTTCCATTTCCTTTCCTTTCCTTTCCTTTCCTTTCCTTCCTTTCCTTTCCTTCCATTCCCTTCCCTTTCCTTCCTTTAGTTTCTTTCCTTTCCTTTCCTTCCATTTCCTTTCCTTCCCTTTCCTTCCTTTCCTTTCCTTTCCTTTCCTTTCCTTTCCTTCCATTTCCTTCCATTCCTTTCCTTTCCTTTCCTTTCCTTTGACTTACATTTAGTTTAAAAATATTAAGATGTAGCCCTTTTACTTAGGCAAGTAAATAAGCTAACTGTGATATAAAGCTTGGTTTCTATTTTCAATCACTTGATTGTCATTGGTTAAAATAATTCATAACACTGGAAAGTGAGCCAATGTGCTGTCCGAATGAGGTTGTACTCGGGTGTATTTAAATTCATTTTTAGATCTTCAATTAAGAACGTATGAATTAGCGTTCCACTGACATCCTGCTCTGTCAGCGTGAGCCGTAAACCTCTTGTGATGATTTAAAAACTGCTTCTGTTGTTCAAACAATCAGCAACATGTGAATGATGTTTAACGGTGTCGACCAGATGTCTGAAAAGTAATTGAGTAAATGTAGGTGAAACTGGTTTAATGACTTGATTTTTATGTTTAGAAAACTATCTTACATGAAGGTACTACACAATGAGGTGCTCTCTTATAGTCCTAGCTCCAGTTTTAAATGAGCCCACCGTTCTTTCAGGTCAGCAGCAAACAGCAGCTCATTAAAGGAAAACAGAGAGACTAGAGAATCCAGGCTGATGGTAATAATGAATAGAGGAAGGAAAGATGCATCTGTGCAGCCTGCAGGCAGGATTACAACACAGAGAAATCACCACGAGGAAATGAAGGTGTGTGTGTGTGTGTGTGTGTGTGTGTGTGTGTGTGTGTGTGTGTGTGTGTGTGTGTGTGTGTGTTCAGGTCTGTCAACCTGAATATGTCCATTGTATGAAAATATGAAATAATTTATGAAACAAACAAACAAAAGTGACACTTGGTGAAGCCAAGACAAAACACGGCCAATTACTGACTGAATGTTCAAAGAATGTTTGTGTGTATATGTGAGGTACTGATTGTGCTGATTCTGCACAGAAGAGGACATATAACCTTATATTTTAGTTCACTCCTTATTCCCGGGATCAGATCTTCAGTCGTGAGATCTTAATTTAAGAATCTTTTCATCTAAAATGCTAAAACACATTTTTTTTCCCTGATAACGAGTTCATTTCAGTCGTTCGGTTTCAAGGCATTCTCTTATTACCAATAGAAACACAGATTTGTTATCCTGTGAACATTAAATAAATAAATTGAGATCTTGTGAAACTAGACATGTACCGTTTATCACAGACAACCAGAGTGAAGAAGAAAGGATGTATGTCCGCTCAGGGCTTCTGTAATTCTGTAACAGCAAACTGGATTTCTTTTTAATGTGAGCTCCTAAGGACTCTTACTGCTCAGCTCATTACGCTGTGTCTGTAATAAAAATGGAGGGAATCTTTTTTTTTTCTTTAAACTACTTGAAAAAGAAAACTACAATTTACATTATGTCTGAAAATATTAGCATGTTATATCAATGTGTAGTGTGTAAAAGCATTTGTTGTCAGAGAATAACTCATAACAGACGTACAGCCTCACAAAGCTATCAGCATGTTTTATATATAGCCTATGTTTATATACAGTACATTTTTTAACTTGAAAAAGAAAACTACAATTTACATTATGTCTGAAAATATTAGCATGTTATATCAATGTGTAGTGTGTAAAAGCATTTGTTGTCAGAGAATAACTCATAACAGACGTACAGCCTCACAAAGCTATCAGCATGTTTTATATATAGCCTATGTTTATATACAGTACATTTTTTTATAATCTTTTTCATATTGCTTGTGATGTCTTAATGTCTTACCTTAATTTGTTCTCATTGAGATATCATTGGATATAACCCTCCTGCCTAATCTAGCTCGCATATCTTCAATAATTTAATATTTAAAGTCTATGTTTAATACAATTCCAAGGTTTTGATCCAGGGTTGTAACCTTTCAGCGTACCATTATTTCATTGTATTACCATTCATGGTAATTGGTGATTGTGCGTACCTCATTTACTGTATAAAGCAGGGCCCATGGTTCTGCTGCCTTAATATCCTTATGTCTTCTGTTCCAAGGATCTTTACCTCAGCTAATGCAAAGAAAAAGAATGGATGAGTACATTATGTATTTCTGCCTTTTAATAAGGCAGTTTTTCTTACCACTGTAACTTTTGCTGCTTTGTGAAAGTGCTCATGATGGATAGACCGGGTCTTTGTAACATAACAATGAGTAAGGTCTTTTATCTGCTTTTTGTAAAGTGTCTCCAGATAACACTTATGAGTTGACGCTATACAAATAAAAATTGATTGATTGATTGATTGATTGATGAGTACAGCACAGGCAAAACTATCCTGACTTCTGCTTCTAAGTATGGGTCATGCTCCAAAAATGATTGATCCTGGATTTCCTATCTCTGGTTTTGGGTTTAAATTTGTAGTAGACGGTAGCTGTAAAAAAGAAAAGAAAAAAAAGATCTATTCAGGGATATCGTTAGTTCTTCCTGCAACTTTTAGGTTTGGTTGCTACATTAGGTTCCACCTCAATTAAAAGGTCACATGTTGTTGTTTTTTTTTTGCCTCTGAGTCTGCCTTCTCACTGTAAACAATAAGGCATACAGTAGCAACCCGAAAAAAACGGCCTGTTCTGATCAGGGCTTAAAAATATAGGGTCAGAGTGGATTTTTTCCAAGAAACTTCACAGACATGTTTTGGTGACCTCTGAGACTTACTTAAACTGGTTGAAAAGGAGGATTATATTTGACCTTTAAGACAATCTTTTGTAAGTTTTTGGGGAACAATTTTCTCATCTATATTGTACAAGAAAGGGAGAACTCAAACAAGGTATTGATTGTCCATGTGAAAAGAAAGATAAAAAAATGCCAACTGAAAAAATTAGTGAATCCTTACATTGTAAAAGAAAGAAATACCCCTTTAAAATCAGTGACCCGATGGTAACTCGCACACAGAGTGCTTTTTGTCTGTTCTGTGGGGTGGAGGGAGTTTCTGAGGAGTTGCGTCAATAAGATCAATCCTGCTACTGGCCTCAGTGACTTTGATTTCCAAGCATTTATGTGTGTTTTTGTTCTTTTCTGTCTTTCCAGAGGAGCTGAAAGAGCACCTGCAGAGCTATGTGGATGAGACCAACGCTCAGCATGGCCCAGAGTTCATCAAGGTGGTGCGCCATGACAAACAGGAGGGCCTGATCAGGTCCAGAGTCAGCGGGTGGAGGGCTGCCTCAGCTCCTGTCGTCGCTCTCTTCGATGCACATGTGGAGTTCAACACCGGATGGTGAGCAGCTCGCTCGTGTTCCACCATAGCAGCGTCTGCATTAAAACAAGTTTCTGCCATATTGAGCAGTGACACCGTTACTGCCATCTGGTTTACATGGTCCCAGATGGCAGTGGGTGAAGACCAGGACTCTTTAAGGTCACCTCATTAACATGCGCATATTCGTCTGTTGACAGCCGAGGGTCTAGCTTTTTCTGCTCTGTGATGTTAAAGAGAAAGTCCGCTAATATTCCTTTTTGTGAACTCATGAAAAGGCCAGAGCAGTAATGGATGGATCTTACCGACAAGTATTTTCTGTGAAGTGTTATACAAATGATCCAATCAGAAAGGCCAGATTTGGGTGACATGTATACTTCAGATTTCATCAGCCCAATCATCTGGGCAGGAAAGTTGAAGAAGCAAGACCCACACATTGTCAGTTGAAGAGTTTCCTTGGGATTTTCTCAGAAAATATTTAACATAGATATTAGGGCGCGGTGTTTCTCACAACCTCCCGGTACGATACGTGTCACTCACCACAACTCACAATCAATCAGTTAATCATTATTTGTATACCACCTATTCATAACAAGTGTTACCTTGAGATGCTTTACAAAACACCACATGGGATATGATGCAAGAAGGATTTATTCTTTGTGTTCCTCGCATTCCTGTTGTCCACACTTCCTTGCCCCTGAGGAGCAGGCCGTGCAGGAATGAGGACAGCGGTGGTAGTGGGTACAACACTGTCCGATGGTGGTGGCTGCTGGGCGTCTGGTGGTGGTGGTGGGTACAACACTATCCGATGGTGGTGGCTGCTGAGCGTCTGGTGGTGGTAGTGGGTACAACACAGTCTGATCGTAGCTGCTGGGCGTCTGGTGGTGGTAGTGGGGACAACACAGTCCAATGGTGGTGGCTGCTGGGCATCTGGTGGTGGTGGTGGGGACAACACAGTCCAATGGTGGTGGCTGCTGGGCATCTGGTGGTGGTGGTGGGGACAACACAGTCCATGGTGGTGGCTGCTGGGCGTCTGGTGGTGGTAGTGGGTACAACGCAGTCCATGGTGGTGGCTGCTGGGCGTCTGGTGGTGGTAGTGGGGACAACGCAGTCCATGGTGGTGGCTGCTGGGCGTCTGGTGGTGGTAGTGGGTACAAAGCAGTCCATGGTGGTGGCTGCTGGGCGTCTGGTTGTGGTAGTGGGGACAACGCAGTCCATGGTGGTGGCTGCTGGGCGTCTGGTGGTGGTGGTGGTGGGACAACGCAGTCCATGGTGGTGGCTGCTGGGCGTCTGGTGGTGGTGGTGGGGACAACGCAGTCCATGGTGGTGGCTGCTGGGCGTCTGGTGGTGGTAGTGGGTACAACACAGTCCAATTGTGGTGGCTGGGCGTCTGGTGGTGGTAGTGGGTACAACACAGTCCATGGTGGTGGCTGCTGGGCGTCTGGTGGTGGTAGTGGGGTCAACACAGTCCAATGGTGGTGGCTACTGGGCGTCTGGTGGTGGTAGTGGGGACAACACAGTCCGATGAAGGTGGCTGAGCCATACGTATCGCCATACTTAGACCATGATACAATACGTATTTTGATACATGTTGATATTGGATAATAACCATGTCCTACAAAGAATTCACAACAACAACTGTTCTTTATTCTAGACAAAAACATTAAAGACATATTTTTGAGGACCCTACAAATTAAAACACTCAGAGATCCTTACAGTAAATTGAAATATTCCGTTTCAAACTCAGAGCTATAAATTAATGCAAATCTTTACTTTTGTGGAGTTAAAAGGTTTCTCTGTCGTCTCTCTTGCTTTTTTGGTATAAAGTGTAATTATTGTTTTTAATTGAGTCCACTTGTATTGGCAAGAATGTCTTTTTGCGTTACATCTGCATTCTACAGTACTTAGGCACTGCGGACACTGTATAGAACGGACGAACAGAATTACACAGCATGACTCACACTCATAAGATAAGATAAGACTTTATCTATCCCCAGACGGGACATTCGGCTGCAGCATCACAAAGATAAGTAGCGAGTAGGTAGTTCATAAATAAAAATTGAAACAGAATAACTGAGATAAATACAAAAAAAATAAGAGGTATATACAACTGGAATTTAAAGGAGTGAATGGAACTATTAAGGACAATCAAGACATTCTGTCCAGTCATTATTTGTATGTGCAACAGAATGCCGTGACAAGAGATAATTAAAAGTGGCTTGGTATGATTAATAGCAGCAAGTTATGCAAACAGCAGTGTAGGTGAGCCACATATAGTTTGATATGAGGTTATGGGTATAATATAGTATAAGTTGCATTTAAAAGGAAGTGAGATGCATGAGATAGTCAGTTAAAACAAAATAAAGAGCAGTATGGTATGATCTCTGTGGCAAACACCCGTTTCTGAAGTGTAAGCGTTTTGTTCATCAGGATAACCTTCACAGATGAACGCCATTTTTATGATGTTTGAAGCGTTAATGCAGCCGACAGAAGTAAAAAGCTAACGTTACGCTACAAGCTAACTACACCACGGTCGGATGATTGTGATGTCACTAGCGTTATTCTTCAGACGATCTCCGATAAACTAATCCACGTAGTTTAATGAATTGTTCACTAACATGATATCCACCTTAACCTAAAGATTAAACGTACAGGAGACATCTCAGACTAGTGAGAGAGTTCCTGACAGCTACTTACTTAGGAAATCAATCATTTGAAACAAAATAAAATATTTGGAAATTATTTATTGATTAAAAAAAAAGATATACTGCAGAAAAGATATACTGCAGTTAATCTACAGAATGTGTCAATAGCAACTGTAACTCTGTAGTCTTCGTAAAAAGAGCAAAGCCAGCTGTCTATTCTCACATTATCTGAACATTTCCACTGATGCCGATGTGAGATAATGCATGACTCAGCGCTGCTCCCGAGTTTTTCTGCCTCATCCATGTCGGAGTCGGTTGACATTTTCTTTTCCGTTCACCAGTCTTAAAACTGAAGTTTTGGTGCTTTTAAACCTCTTTACACCGTTGTTTTCCTCTCCTTTCTCCTTTATTTCGCACCACTGCTACATCAAATTAACCGCATTTTTTTCTGCTGGTATCTTTTGATTTATCCTCCAGATTCTGTGTTCAGAGCTGCGTCCATATTGCAACCGTCTGTGCTTCCTAGTAACAGTTTTTTTTTTCTCTTAACAACGACGGCTTGAGAACGTTGCCATGACTAATCGGTTAATCAGAAGGACATTTTGATGAGTTCTGATATACGTCTCTTTGGATAAAAGCGTCTGCTAAGTGAATTGTAGAAGTTTTAACAGCCATGTAATAAAAAACTGGATTGAGCAGTAAATGCTTGGATAAACACGGAGAGAGTAAATTTAAAGAAGGAATGAGAGGCTGGATTTTAGCATTATTCAGCAGAAACTTTCTTTGAAAGGTTGCTAAATATAACAGAAAATTGGTTATCATGTTAATGTGGCGGCATTACAGTATAATGTCCTCTAGATACATCCTTTGATTAAGCATTGAATCAGTGAAGTATTTAACATTGCTGGTTCAATTTGAAGCTGGTTCATGGAGAAATGATTCTGTTTTCTCTTTGTAGTTTTAAAGACTGGTATAGCTGTAACCCATTTTCTTGTAAATGCTGCCTTCGAACAGGTGCAAACTTTCAGCTCCAGAGAGCCACACAAGCAGCTGTGACATATTTATTAGTATTTCGGGCTGCACAGTAAGTCAATTGTGAGTCAGGCTGGCAATGAAGTGATTTAATTCCAGACTCCCTGGTGTAAGAATGAGAAGTGCAGATTGGTTGAGATATTTTATTAAGTAGTCGAGGTTGTTGTGATCCATGAAGGCATAATTAAACCTGCATCACAGCGCTGTTTCTTCTTTCACTGCCCTCTCTTGCAACAACCTGCACATATGGTCGCCTCAAACACTCTTCCTAATAGAGATGTTGAAGGAAGCTCAATAAAATAAGATCCTGACATTGTTTCGGCTTTGCTCTGGGACACGTGTGTGTGTGTGTGTGTGTGTGTGTGTGTGTGTGTGTGTGTGTGTGTGTGTGTGTGTGTGTGTGTGTGTGTGTGTGTGTGTGTGTGTGTGTGTGTGTGTGTGTGTGTGTGTGTTTTCACAGATCAAACTTTCAGAATATAAAGCTGACAGAAACACAACAGCTTTAAAAAAAATTTATCTGGTTCAAGAGCGGAAATACTGTATGTTCTGAAGAGGTTTTACTTGATGCGTGACCCCCTGTTAAAGGACTGGCAGTGTGTTGTTTTTTTTAAATCACAAAGCTCATTAATGGTGTCAAGAAATTCTACTTTTATTAAAGCTTACATTTTATTGATTAGTGATGGGACAAGCTGCTTTCATTTCTGATAAATGTCCTGTTTCGCTATGCTCCAAAGAGTAATTACTGTTCAACACCGCAGTGGAAAGACCAATGATCTGTGGAGAACAGTGTTGGAACATGGACAGCATATTGTGAGCTCATGTAGCTCAGACAATCCTGAACTAGCTGTGGGAAATGACCAAATCAGTAACAGCAATTTTAGCTTCATAATCATAATCAATCAAGGATTATGAGAATTTAAGATTTTCTCACATCAAATTTAAAACCCTGCTTAAGAAAAATGGCTCCTCCATACCTAAACTCTCTCATCCAGGTCTGCACTCCCTCCTTCCAATGAAAGGTGTCTAATCTAAACTTCACATCAGGGCCATGAGTCTCTAGCGAGACTATTTTCCTCTGTCGCCCCCCGGTGGTGGAATGAACTACCAAACTCCATTCGATCTGCAGAGTCCCTCGGCACCTTGAAGAAAAAGCTAAAGACCCAGCTCTTTATGAATACTTACTTTAATGGTATTGATGTTGGTGATATTTATGATGGTTTTGATGCTGATCTCTCGAGAACAGCTTTTTATGTTGTTGTTGATGACGGTATATTAACTAATTAACTATTAATCATTTAAAAAGTGCTCTGCCTCTGCACTTCCTGTCAGCACCTGTGTGTCCAATCT